TGGTTGTACCTCTCAGTCTCATCCTTGTCTCTTATGGGGCCATTGCCCGGGCAGTCCTGAGGATTAACTCTGCTATGGCATGGAAAAAAGCTTTAGGGACCTGCTCCTCCCATCTCATGGTCGTTACTATCTTCTACAGCTCTGTCATTGCTGTCTACCTGCAGCCCAAAAATCCCTATGCCCAAGAGAGGGGCAAGTTCTTTGGTCTCTTCTATGCTGTGGGCACTCCTACACTTAACCCTCTCATCTACACTCTGAGGAATAAGGAGGTGAAGAGGGCGTTCAGGAGATTGCTGGGGAAAGATGGAGAATCCAGGGAGAGCTGAAGGAGAGCCACTTAATGGACTTCTAAATGAAGAAGGGTTCCATCATGATTTGTAAAAATGTTGAGCTTCCCAAGACACACCTGAGAATCACTAGTGTGGGTCAGTGTGATGTGTGTGTGTGTGTGTGTAAAAGTAGATATTGTCCTTAAACCTCTGAAATTCCAATAGCACCCTTTCTATCAAATCTAAGTATTTTCTCTCCTATCCATCCTGTTTTTACTGTTTTTACTCTAACTCCCTCACTCTACCATGCGCATTTCTGGCATTTCTCTCCAGCTGTCATGTCTGCTACATGACACTTCATGCCATTGTAGATCCTGCACATGTCTATATGGGTCAGGTGAGCAAGAGTTGAGCCACAGCTAATCTGAGATGTGGAAGGAGCCTTTTCGTCCCTCTGGAATGTGAGAGGATGAGAACACAGTTAGGATCTGCCTCAAGGCCCTCTCTCTCTCCTCCTTGCAGCCTCTGGGAGCTGCTGGAAGACCACGCCTCCAGGTTCTAATAGAACATGAGGCTTTCTCCCCCATACATAGGAAACAGCTTCATTGCATATTGAATCTTAGCAACAGTTCAGGATTGTTTCCCCCATCACTAGGTATCCCACAGCATTGTTTCAATCATGGGATCCCTTTTAGTTAAGTATCAGTCTTTCTAATGGGTGGAACAAGGACTCAAGGAGTTGGAATTTTGGGGGTTTTGTCCTTTTAATTTGTATGTAAATAATATACTGTCTTGGCCTCCCTGGCCAAATCAGCCTGGCTTTATTCTTGCCTTGCTTTTCATGGGTGTGTCTGACTGCCATCCACATTACTCTGTCTTCAGTTTCTGGTTCCTACCGTGTTGCCTTCGTCCATTTGTACTGCAATAATGAACTATCATAAACTTGGTAGCTTAAAAGTAACAGAACCCCATTTCTATCAGTTCTAGAAGCTGTGAAGTCCAAGATCAAGGCAAAAGAGCTAATGCTATACTCTTTCTCTCTTTCTCTCTCTCTCTCTCCCTTCTCCCCCTGCCACTATGTAGCCCAGGCTACCCTTGAACTTATGATCTTTATGCCTCAGCCTCCCAAGTGCTGAGATTACAGTATGCCCTATCATGCCCACCCTGTAATCTCTGTTATAAAGGTACAAATGCCAGTCACAAAGCTTGTTGCCTCAACCCTAATCGCCACTCCAAGACCCCACCTCCAAACACCATCACCCTGATCATTTCAACACAGGATATAGATCTTTCTTTCTTCCTGAAGGTCCTTTCCATCTCTTGCTCCTCCTTATATTAATCCTCTTTTACTTTTCCTTGCTTCTTCTAACTTCAAATAATAGCCAAAGGAAAGAGGAAATGCATTAATCCAAAACTGAAATTAATAAGAAACTTAATTCACAACAGCATAAAATATGTAATAATATGTGTAGTTAAAAAATCAAGACCTGTGAGGTGTTTAATCTGAGGTGTCAAATTGACAGCTGTTTAGACATTATTCAGGAAGATCACAAGTTTAAAGGCACATGACAAGATCTTGTTCTCAAAACACTTAAATAATTTTTCAAAAATCAACAAAGATGTTAAGACACATCACCAAAGAAGATTTACAAATAATTAAGCTCATGAAAAGATATTATTTTGGATATTGAAAATATGCCAATTCAACACAATGCTCCACATTCCTCTAGAGTGGCTATAATGAAAACACCTGATGGTAGAAGAGACTGATAAGAATGTAGAGTGCTCAGACAAGCATTGGCAAGGATTTATCAAAATTGGTTTAAAAAAAATTAGAGAATAATTTAGTAGGATTTCTTTAAAGGTTCAGATTTACTGCTGGGAGCCCGTGGCTCAAGCCTGCAATCCTAGCTACACAGGAGGCTGAGAGCTGAGGCTCAAACCCAGCCCTAGCAGCAAAGTCCGTGAAATTCTTATCTCCATTTCTACAATTAACCAGGAAAAAAGCCAGAAGTGGAACTGTGACTCAATAGTAGAGCACAAGCCTTGAGTAAAAAAGCTAAGAAACAGCATCCAGGGTCTTAGTACAAAGCCTAAATCCCAACATAGACACATATGCACACACACACACACACACACATAGTGAGGAGCATATTTTAAAACCACTGATAATATACCCATAAACAGATGAATGTTATTATTCAAACAACAAAATACTCCTCTGAGATTAAAAAAGGACTGTGCCATTGCTACACAAAACACAGATTAATCTCAAAAATGTACATAGCAGGGCTGGGAAGGTGGCTCAGTGACAGAGTGCTTGCCTTGCATGCATGAGGCCCTGGGTTCAATTCCTTAGCACCACATAAGCAGAAAAAGCTGGAAGTGGGGCTGAGGCTCAAGTGGTAGAGTGCTAGTCTATAGCTGAAGAGCTGAGGGACATCGCCCAGGTCCAAAGTTCAGACCCCACGACTGACAAAAAAGAAAAAAAAAAGGTGTTGGGCTGGGAAGGTGGCTCAGTGGTAGAGAGCTTGCTTTGCATGCATGAGGCCCTGGGTTCGATTCCTCAGCACCACATAAGCAAAAAGAAAAAAAAAGCCAGAAGTGGCGCTGTGGCTCAAGTGGTAGAGCACTAGCCTTGAGCTGAAGAGCTGAGGGACAGCGCCCAGGCCCAGAGTTCAGGCCCCACGACCGGACCCGAAAAAAAAAAATGTACATAGCAGAGGAAATCAAAATAGGAGTGTTTGTGTACTGAAGCAATCATTATGTAGTTTTAGAACCATGAAACAACCTAAAATGATAGAAATCAAATCAGCACCTCCATAGAACACAGATAGAATTATCAATTTCCATGGAGAACTTTCTGGAAAAATGGAAATGCTATAGGTCTTCACTAGACTGGTAAGGACCTCACTGTACACATTTGTCAATTTTCAATAAATTGTATATGAAAACGTGTATTCATTATGCTAATGACACCTCTGTTATATAAGAGGGGAAAGTAGGATGTGGCGCTGTGGCTCAAGTGGTTCGCCTTGAGCTGAAGAGCTCAGAGACAGCACCCCGACTCAGAGTTCAAGCCCCATGACCGACAAAAAAGGGGGGGAAAGTAAAGGGTGATAGAATAAGCATATTAGAGGCTTAGGAGGAAATAACTGCTGAGAAGCTGGGACTGAGGGGGGGAAGGGGATGAGGAGACAAAAGCAACCTTGTATTCCCCAAGGTCACAGAGCAGCACAGGGTGACCTTTGTCTTTACCTCCAAGAGCAACCTGCAGACAAATCCCCATCCCTTCTTCACCACCCTCAGAGGCAGCACTAATTGTCTGTGGGCTGTGGCTCCTAATCCTGACAGAAATGATGAGCTGTTTCTCCCCATAGAATGGGCATCCTGGGATTCCTT